ATATGTTACATGCAATTTGATTGGTCCAATCGCTTGTAGTTAACCAATCGCTGGGCCGTATATAATCGAGCTGTGATCTGATTAGTTGAAGCTTTCATACACGTCCAATCGCAGGGCTGTTTACAAACGGAAAACGGAGAGACTGTTCGGGAGAGCTCGTGAAAACTCGACGATAAGGTACCTGACCGCCCCTAAAATTTTCTCAACGGATTTAGACGATTCACAAAAATGATCAATTTAAGAAATAAAACGGCGGATTTCCGCGGATACGCGGAAAATTGCCATCTATGATAGTGTGGAAAATACAGTACTTACTGTTTTCTACAGGAGCCAACAAGCATCACATGCCTGTGAATATTCTGATTCATCCAAGTCATTTTATTCTTAAGGCAATGAATCGATTGCAATTGGACTGTTCTGGTTGTCTTAGATTGTCACCATTTCTCAAGCTATTTTAAGACATTTTTAGGGATGAGCTCCTCAAACCCATTGCCAGAGCCGAACGTGTTGCAGTGGACCCTGGATTCTTCCAGTGTCCAGCTTCATGTGGCTGGACTGTGTCAGCAGTGATGGGATGATGAAAGCATGCCATTGATTGGCTCACCTATTCCCCAGAACTGAATACAAATCAAGCACATCTGGAATCTCATGTATGTACCAACAAAGCAGTCCATTGGTTGAGAATCATTGACTTTGATTTTAATGTGCAGGGTTCCCAATGCATGATAATAAAATTGTACGAATTTTAAGGTTTGATGACATTTTCAAATGTTTTCATCATGACTGTATACTAGGGTGGTCCACATTTTCATGGCAAAAAAAAAAGTTTGTCGGATTCGTCGGGCCGGGTCGGAATTCTTGTCGATACTATGGTACAAGGTTCTGTGCAAAATTTCATTCCGATCTGATGATATTTTCCCGTCCCGCAAAGCGGCCAAAGTTTCCACCATAACAACTGGTCTCAATAGGGTGAACATGTGTATTTTAACCGTGTATTTTGCCATGCGTGACACTGGCTGGGCTGAATGTTGCCCGAACGATCACCTCCTGACTAACTAACCATTCCATCGCTGCTCTCAGCAGCCGGAGACAAACTCAAACGCACGCCTAACACACAACGGTCACCTACTGGCGAGCTAATATCTTTCAATTGAAGTCGAGAATCGCCGGAATTCTTACTGGACGCTGAGCTGAGGACGCTTTTCGACATCGAACATCACCACGGCTCGTCGGCGCGCTCGTCACCTACGGGTGGTGAACGACTTTGCGGAGAGGGGCGTCGCCCTCATCAGCGCGTTCTGCGGCGCCATCACGCGCGACGAGGAACAGCGACAGCACCTTCTGCAGGTCGTGGAGCGACACCGGGCGTTGCACCCGTGCGCGAAGTAGGCATGGGATGGCACGCACGGCGGATTTCGTTTTTTTTGCGGTCTAACAGTGTCACTAGTGTTGATGGACATTATAGACAGATGGACAGATAGACAGATGGACCAGTTAACATGGACCAACAATCTCACCAGTGTTGAAGGATAACCACGGTTGCCTTTTTTGCAATACATGCGTTCCTGTCTTCCGTCTTTGAATTATTGCAAGTGCGAACTGAGCAAAACAAAATCCTTACTGTACGGGAGAAACCGTACTACCATTCAGCCCCGTAACATTCTTTCCATAGGGGAAACTTTGGTCGCTCTGCGGGACGGGATAAAATTATCCGATCGGAATAAAATTTTGCACACATCCTTGTGTCATAGTATCGACAAGATTTCCGACCCGGCCCGACGAATCCGACAAACTTTTCCAAAATGGACCACCCTACTGTATACATGCAATTATTTCATTGTGGCTGAAAAATCTTGAAAACAATTTTTTTTACAGTCGTGAAACATGAAGTCTGCTTACCTCAGTTTCAGAAATAAGCTGTGTGATTTTCTTGCAAGTGTAGAATGGAGCGACTTCAACGTGGGCAACTCTCCAATAAGCACCCCGTGGTGTATCCAATATCTTGTCATGCTTCTTCAAGATCTTTCTGAAGCCTGTGACAAGCAGGTTCTGCAAACATTTAGAGAGAGAGAGAGAGATACTGGTTAATGGACTTGTCATGTAAGCACAAAAACATTTAAAATGGACATATGGAAAAATGACTTTGTATTGTTTGTATACAACTAGATCTCCACAATTCCCGCCCATCCATCAATTGTGAAATTAGCCAACTTTTGATATGTTCTTATTTCTACAAACGTGAGTAGGCTTTTCTGCACGAAGACCACAATTAAGTAGGGATTATGGTGATATTATCCAGTGTTGGCTTCACTCAAGGGGCATTCATTAGCAGTCTGACCATGGAGGAGAGAACTAATACATAAAAGCTGAAAGGTAAGCAAAGCTACACCGAATTTTGTTGCATGCATTGATTAGAATTAACTAATAGCAGGAAGTCTCAGATAAGTGGCAACGAATTGATTTCTTGGTGCAGTTGTCTATGCAGAGGGGATGGAGTATATTAGTCCTTGCAGATGTGACCGCTGCCACATAGGCAAGTACACACAGCAATTGTGGCTTTCAAACATTTACTACTTTTGATGACTTTGAAATCCTAGCCCTTACGCATTTCTCGACTGATCCAAACCATTTCAAATTTCGTATTCCACATTTCCGCAGCAATTCAAACACGCTTCAGCTTTTTATCAGTAACACAAATTTCGACAAAAATTACACTAAACTGACATGACACGACATAACATAAGCTCCAGACTAACTTTTTTCACTTGGAGCACAGTGGCCCTAAACTTGAAATGTTCGGGGTGCAAGTGAAAATCTTGGGGCGCATATGGATCATAAATTGATTTGCTAAGTAAATATTCCCATTTCCAAAAAATGTAAAAACTTCAAGCTACAGTGATATCACATCATTGAAGTAGGAAATTTAAGCAGAAGGAGTTAACAACAACGTTGGGTACACCACAACAAAAAAATTTCAACATCTCAGTAGCTCGTCATGTGCCCTTGAGCATCAATTACAGCTTGACAACAACGTCTCATGTTCTTCATAAATCGACTTATTGTCTTCTGAAGAATGGCATCCCAGTCTTTTTGAAGGGCAGCCCTCAGGTCATTGAGGATCTGCGGTGCAGATGTGACTTTCAATATTGGCTTAAATACCGCCTAATATTAATAACATTTTATCGGTCCATATCATTGGACCGATAGAAATAAGGTCTTTTTTCCTATTATCAGGCCGAAAATTCTTGGTCCCACAATTACCATGCATTTCTTTGGAGGTTCTTTTTGGCTATATGGTTTGCTCCAGAGCTAGCAGTGCCCATGTGAAGAAAGCAGCCCATATTACTATTGCTAATACATATTTATGAGTGTATTATGGAACTGCTGCAGAGCCAAGTAAAGCACTATTTGCCAAGGAAATTGATGCTAATTTTGATGGCGTGAAAACAAATGAAACTGTGCATCGAACAGGTCAGTCAATGAAATCAACAGTAGTTGATGATAGAAACATTTGTGAGTACTCAAAGACAACACTCAGTGACATCACTGACAACCTCCACAGGGCAGGAGTGAAGTTAACACAATCCACTGTTAAAAAAAAAATGGTTCAAGAAATACACGGGCCATACCACTAAATGCAAATCACTCATTAGAAAAACAATTGAAAAGCCAGATTGGATTTGGCAAAGACCAAAGATGAGCCACAAAATTTTTATGAACTAATGAACCCAAGAGCAACATCTACTAAAGTGATGGAAAGACCAAAGTATGGAGAAAGAAGAGATCTGATTTTGATCCAAAACAAACAACCTCATCTGTGAAGCATGGTAGAGGGAATGAAATAGTTTGGGCTTGCATGGGTTTTTTTCTGGAACGGGCTCACGAGTCTTTATTGATGATGTAACTCATGATGGAAGCAGCAGAATGAATTGTGAAATCAACAAAATCATTTTGTCAATCAATGTACAGAAAATCCAAATCCAGCATCCAAATTAATCAGAAGAAGCTTCACCATACAAGACAATGACCCAAAACACAGTGCCAACACAAAAAATGACTTCATCAGGGGAAAAAGCGGAAGGTCTTATGACTGACCAAGTCAATCCTCAGATCTTAACCAAACTGAGCATGCATTGAAGAGGAGGCTGAAGGAAGAAACCTCAAGGAATAAACAAGTTCTCGCCTCCCCGATCAGAACTTGAGTGGTGTTAAGCCCCCACAAATAACACATTGCCACTTAGTATGGAGCATCGTTTACATCCACCCCAGAGCCAAGCCCACCACGGCGACCGAACACATCAGATGCACCCTCAACAGACTGGAGCACCTTTCCCCCGACTCTCCCAAATTCATCATGGGAGATTTCAACCATTGCAACCCAGAGAAATCCCTCAAAGGCTTCAACCAGTACATCACACGCACCACCCGCCAGGGGAAGACGCTGGACAAGTGCTACGGCTCCATTCCTGATGCATACAAGCCCGCCATCCTCCCCCCCCTCGGCTCTGCTGATCTTCTGTGAGGAAACCATCATCCCCTCCAAGACTGTCACCATCTTCCCCAACAACAAACCCTGGATCACCAAGGAGCTGAAGGAGATCATCAACAGGAAGAAGCGCATCTTCTTCTCGGGCACCGAGGTCGAGAAAAAGAAGATCAACAGGGAGGTCAAGAGAGCCATCAAGATCGCCAGGAGAAACTTAATGGCGGTAACCTCTGTGCAGCCTGGCAGGGCCTGAAGAAAATGGCAGCAGTGAACACCACCACCAGCACCCCTGGGAGCAGCCCAGCCTCCCTCACTTCTCGGGCACCGAGGTCGAGAAAAAGAAGATCAACAGGGAGGTCAAGAGAGCCATCAAGATCGCCAGGAGAAACTTAATGGCGGCAACCTCTCTGCAGCCTGGACGGGGCTGAAGAAAAAG